TTGAATTTAAATTTATTTTAAATTTAACTTTTCATTTGAATAAAAGTTAATTTATTTTAAATTTAAATTTTTGAAAATTTATTTCTCGATTTAATAAATTTTTTTAAATTAAAATGTGACACCCCTACCTTTACGTGAACAGCCAATCGTTTCTTTGCATCATCTTGACCGACTATTGTTGCTGAATGACCTTTGCCCGATGTTTGAAAAAATATATACGCATGCATTTCGAGTATAGTCAGGTAATCAGATATACCTATATTGAATGCGAATCATTGCACACATCAACAACACATCCTATTACTATTTACGACCAACATAGATGGAACTTGAAATGAGAATTCCGACTGTCAATGCTGATACGAACAATCAAACTAGAGAATTGCAATCGATAAAACAAAAGCAGCTTGAGAAGGTAAATCAAAATTTCCTAACACACTTGTATTGTTGAGAAAAACTTGTAAAATGAACTTATTTTTGCCAAAACCAAGTTCTATTTGAATTTTATTATTGTAGTTATGTCGCTGGGTTCTGATTCTGGCAGTTTTCATATGTATCAGTTTTGGTGTCATGTGCATCAATAATTCAGCTAAGCTGAAAAATCTCTACAAATTACAAATACAATTTAATAGCACAACCGATTTCGAACACATTCAACGCGAACGCATTCGCACGTACATATTTATGCTGGCGTATTTCCTTATTACAATAATCAATCTTCTGCTATTTGAATTATCGTTTATGGGCCGGTCTGATTTTGTTCGCCTATGGCGAGAGTTTCAATGGTCAAAAAGTATGGTGTTTATATTGGTCGGCTTCTATTTAGGATCTTTAATTGGTCTTTTCTTTCGCGTGTCCGCAAATGGACAAGCCTCGGAAAAAGAGACTTTAGAAGTAAATCAAAATCTAAAAATAACTCTATTAGTTGTCGTTATATTGTATTTTTAGGATGAATATCTACTCGACAAGATATCAAAACTCAATTTCAAATTTCATTTGACAGCGATTCTTTGCATCCTTGTTCACAGTATTGCTAACACCATTATTAATTGCACCAACGATGTAAAAGTTAATAGTTACAAATTAGCTAGATCAATCTGTAAGACAAGCACAAGAAACAACCGACACAATCAACCACAACAGGTAAATACGCCGAAGCCTGATGTCAATACAATTTTGTAAACAATGAAAATAGTCATGCATTATAAATGTTTATTTGTGTCAATCAAAATAAATATTAAATTATTCTTGTGTTGTACTTCTCTATCATTGTATCTCGTTTATATTAGTTGAATCGAAATAATATATTTATTTTGATTATTTCATCGGGATATTATTAACATTCTTTCCAAGCAAATGACATTTCGTTGAACTTAATCAAAGAAACAATTTCACAATAAAAACAGATAAACGTGTACCCAGGTCAAAAAAATCAGACACAGATCTTGTAAGATCAGATTGAATCATACGGAAAATCATAAAGTCAGATCATCGTATCGATTCGTACTGTAAGATTTCAAGATTCTTGTAAGATCTTACAGAAATCTTACAGTACGAATTGATACGATGATCGGGCTTTATGATTTTTCGTATGATTTCATCGGATCTTACAAGATCAGAGATACGATCGTAGAAGATCTTACTGTCTGATTGTTTGACCTGAGTAGTACAATATGGATGATTACTATTTTGTTGTTAGTTTTATTTTGCTCGTATCATTAAGAAAAGACTGAAGCGCATATCCAAATAAATCTCAGATTTTGCATTTATATCACATTCATCATTCATGTTTAGCATAAAAGAAAAACATTGAAAAGAGAAATCCGAGGTAGACTAATGTAAAATCTAAATATTCTTCGTAAACCGCTTCCTATTGATCAAACGATCTCGCAATAGCAAGAAGTGCTGTCGAAATGTTTTATTTACTTTTGTTTCAATAGGAGAGTTATTTATGTAGCGTCATATGACTTTCATTAAATAATGAGCAAGAGATTTCAGATCATGAATGATTGCTTTTTCTCAATGAAGTTTTATATTCCTTCGGAAAAGTTGGTCCTCGTGACTTTATAATACTCTTCTATTCGATCGATTTGCTTTATTATCCTCAAGCTATCTAACGAAGTAAAAATTTTATTGTTAACTGCAAAAACTCGAAAGGTGATATCAAATAACCATGCACTCTGTAAATGTATATTCATGACAATTATGATTTGATGATAAATGTGAATTGTAACTTTAGTTTTCGGATGCACAAAACAGACACCTAATCCAGGCAATCGTTCGCATTAACTAGTAAAATAAAGCAAATATATATATTTTACAAATGAATAATATTGAATAGTTGTGCATAAGAAACGATTTTGAAGTATAATACTTGTCAATAATACTGATCAATGAGAAAGGGACACCCATCCAAGTCTGAACTTACGAAGATTTTTTATTACCATTATAGCATATATGCTCCGTATAGTTTTTTGGTATTTTTCGAAGAATATGTCTATCCTACACTGATTACAACTACACCAGAAATCAGCTAGCGTGTGCCTGCTGAGGATATATCGGGTATCCCAGAATAAATTAGACTGTTTGTATTTTCAATATTTCTCCACTTTATTAATCTTGACTAGGCTGACTTTTCTGTTTCCTTAGATTGCCCCGTTCACTTCTCTAAAAACTTTGTATTGATAGTTTTATTGCAGGTGTGTGGGAAGTTCATCTTTGTATCCATATCCGCACCCTATCTAACCTCCCCGAAAATATCGAATCAGAGACTCTTGCGTAAAATAATGTACTATGCACTTGATATTGTATAATTATCATGGACAATGAGGATCTCTCTCTAAAATCATATCTGTGTGATAATACTGTTGTTGCTACTCTTCACTGTTTCTTTCTTCTTTACTTTATATTTACGAGTGTCTCTTGTCATGCGCACTCTCTTTGTTCCGCAAGGAATGAATACAGAAACAAAACGAAGCCAATGAATAAATTTGAAAGCGAAATAAATAGAAAATAGACAGAGAAAATTAGGAAAAGATACCAGAATAGCCGATACATGTAAGTAGGGTCTCATTGTAATTTTGGCAATGTTCCTAAAAGGTTGGGTACTGAATATTAGGCCCCTATATTAGCCGTTTTAATTCAAGTTTAACGAATAACAGTTCAATCAGGTAACGATTATGCATATATTTCGGCTCGTTTCAAACAGCCATCATTACCCTCCCCACCAGCAACTAAAACCCTTCCATCGTTTAGTATGGACGCTGTGTGTGCAAATCTTGAAACATTCAGGTTACCACCTCTTGTCCAAACTCCTAAAGACGGGTTGTACAGTTCCACAGAATTTAAAAAGCCAGCAAAACTATCTCCACCTGCAACTAAAACGTTTCCATTGGTAAGTACCGATGCTGTGTGAATGTACCGTCCAACACTCATGTTGCCAGTTGCTGTCCATATTCCTGTTGCAGGATCGTATAGTTCTGCACCATTCAAAAATCCACTGTCACCATAACCGCCAGCCGATAAAATTTTACCATTACCTAGTACAGATGCTGTTTGTAGGTATAGGGAATTACTCATATCGCCAGTATTCGTCCAAATTCCAGTGGACGGGTTGTACAACTCCGCAGTATTCAAATAATCAATATTACCATATCCGCCAGCAACTAAAACTTGTCCATTGGTAAGTATCGTTGCTATATGTCCATATCTTGCATCACTCATGCCCCCAGTCATTGTCCAAATTCCTGTTGATGGATCATACACTTCTGCACTAGCTAATGCAAAATTACCATCATATCCTCCGGCAACCAAAATTTTTCCATTCGTAAGTGTCAATGCTGTGTGAGCGTATCGTACAACACTCATGTTTCTAGTCATTGTCCAAATTCCTGTTGATACATAATAGAGTTCTGCACTAGCTAATGCAAAATTACCATCATATCCTCCGGCAACCAGAATTGTTCCATTCGTAAGTGTCGATGCTGTGTGAGCGTTTCGTGCAACACTCATATTTCCAGTCTTTGTCCAAGTACCTGTTGATGAATCGTACAATTCTGCAGTCACCAAAGTGCCATTTACACCTTCTCCACCAGCAACCAATACTTTCCCATTAATTAGTCTAGACGCTGAATGCCAAGATCGTGGGAAAAACATACTGTTGGTAGTCGACCAACCTAGTAAGAAGTATTTCAATGTAGTATCAGTCTTGCAATTCAGATAACAACACTTTTTTGAATGACTTTTCAAAGATATTTTACTCACGCTAGGTACCGTTATATGACTTCGTAAATTTCACAAGAAAGACGAGCTATCACTCGTGCAAAGTATTCAATTGAATATTACCTATTCAAAAATCACCTTGCTTATTCTGTAGATGACAACGGCTCAGAACGTTCATTTAAGGACTATTTTTGAACTTTTACATTCTAGTTCAGCTAAAACGAGTAAGCTTGAATATAGATGATGTAAAAAGAGTGATAATCCACATTGATGCTTAAATAAAAATGTTTTTCAGTTACTAATTTTATTTTCTGTCATCCATACAAAGATTCTACTCTGTGAGCTACATCAATGGATACGATTCTGAGCAAGGTAACATCTTTCAAATGGACTTCTCAACTTCACGCACAAGTTGATTATCTGTGAAGTTGTTAATGTAAGATTCAGAATCAAAATGTTCACTTTTCAATAGCAATGTGCACCCGTTTGTTCTGATTGTTTTTTGAAAACATCCTGCTGCAACTCGCTAAATTTGCATTATTACGCTTGATATTCTTGTATCATCAGTCTCTCGCTTCAGCCAAGGTAGCATTAAATACGAGCTTGGGTGCTACTAAGCTACTCGGGGATAGAAAAGTAGAAGCAATACTTATGAATTCTGATGAAGCACGATCATTCTAAATGGTTCTCATATTGCAATGTATCATGTTCAAAAGTTTTCCTTATCAAATAAAGAATACACAAAGTAATTCTAATTTCTCAAATATCATCATGTGTGCACTGCCATCAACTTAAAACGTAGTGCTGTGTATCTACCAGAAACTGAATTGGCTTTCCCAGGTCATGGACGTACGGCGGGAAACGGCCGGAAAGCACAGGAAAGTGCTGGAAAGTGGAAGCAGTATTCCAGTTGGAAGTTACCGGATTTTCTTCCTGTAGATTCCGATCAACTTCCAGATGTAAAACACAGAAAACTGACCGGAAAACACAGGAAACTGACCGGAATCCACAGGAAAAAAATCCGGTAACTTCCAGCTGGAATACTGCTTCCAGTTTCCAGTGCTTTCCCGTGCTTTCCGGCCAGATACGGTGATTTTTCCGCATCTTTCCGGCCGGTTCCTACAGTATCCGCCCTCCGGAATCATTGACCTGGGTTACGACAGACGTTATGGGAATTAGAGAAATATTTCGGATGTGCATTTTGTTATTGATCTAGGATATTTTTCGATTTCTTCCATCATATGCTTGCAACTTTCTTTTGAAAACTGCTAAGTCTAATCGATTTAATAGTTGCAAAAAAAAATATCAAAATCTGAAAACCCTTTACTTGCAGCATTCTCGTATACACCAAAACAGCGACAAATTGTAACATGCTTATCGTCTGTCTCAATACATACATCAACACACTGCTTTCTATCCAAGTGTATCAATTAATTTGTCTCATAACAATCAGTTTACTCATTGCCACATGTATTGAAACAGGAATTACTTCCTGTTGAAAACGAAAATGAATGTATTTGACTCAAAATAGTAAAAATTATCTAGTTAGCTGTCTTTGTTTAACTCTAATATCTACTGGCAAAGTATCCTTCATTTAGAAATCTTTTTTCCTCACATGGTGCACCAATGTGTTTGATTCAAACAAATAAAAAACCTCCACTACAAACTCTACGGGCAACTCAATGCTTACTGCCAGGCCTAGAGGAAGTTATCGTCGTCGTCGTCCTCGTAATAGTGGTAGTTGGAGTTGTTGTTGTTGTTATTCGCGTTGTTGTGGTGGTCGTAGTTGATCTTGTCGTTGTGGTCGTTGTAGTTGGTCTTGCTGTTGTCGTCGTCGTCGTCCTCNTTGGCCTTGTTGTTGTTGTTGTTGTGGTGGTGGTGGTGGTCGTAGTTGGAATTGTTGTTGTTGTCGTTGTAGTAATAGGTGAAGTTGTTGTCGTCGTCGTCGTTGTCGTTGTTGTGGTGATTGACGCTGTTTGTGTTGATGACGTTGTGGCTATTATCGTTGTTGACTGAGTAGTTGTCGTTTCTATAGGGACTGAGCAAAAAGAAAACTACAATTTAGCAGTGGTATTATTTATTCAGCGAGAATTTTCTACCCTCGACACGTTTTTGTAATACAGACTTCGAGATGCGGCGAATTACTTGTGGGCAGAGTCAAATCTAGTGGAAATTTCTCTATCCTACACCTATTTTCATAGATCTTTAGATTAACCTGTATTACAATAGAGCGACCGAATAGTGATCGTTGTGAGTGTTCAGAGGAGTATATATTAATATTATTTTCACGAATACCACGATACTTTGAGTCTTGATACACGAATTAAACAAAAAATTTGTTAACTTTTGCTGACGGTGGTTCTATTCAATTTGTAATGAAGAGAAGGAGATGAATTTTCTTCGTTTTTCCTCAAAGCAATGGCTGTGTTATAATAAGAATTTCAGCGACACTTCAATTTTACTGTAATAGACACAAATTCCTCTTGTTCCTTTTACGACTAACAATAAGATATTTGATAGACACCTGTTTGGTCCTCGCTATTATATGGTAGTGAATATTGCTGGTCGTCTTTTCATGAACATTTATGTAAATATACTAGTAATAGGAGAGGGAAATTGTGAGTGTCAATATATATCCTAGATATCTGAACATAGGTCTTTACTGCGTGCACAGATAGTTTCAAAGGATTCCACACCAATCAACCATTACACACGTCTCTTTAAATCGATTTTTTCATCCATGTTTTCAACTACTTCTATCATAGTTTAAACGAGATAAACAGGCTCGCTATGGTTTAAATAGGATTGAATAGACTGTTGACGTCTACGGTTTTTTAACATGCATACACATGTTATAATAACGAATACGTTGTTTTACATTAAGATTCTAAAAGACAGCGTCATATCAAGGAATTTACGAGGACAAATGACAAAGATCGAACAGCTGTCACTTGTTTTCACAAAATTCATCAACATTCTAGTTATAAAAACTAACTTGTAGTCGTGTTTGAATTGCTCGAAGTCAATGATGGGCATCTTTGAGAAGATGCAAGATCAATTGGATAACACACTGGAATACCACATCGAGTATTATTAACACATATAGTATTCGGTACCAAACATGTCATATTGCCATTTCCACACGGAGCTAAATCTTGACATGATACAACTGTATCCGCACACATTCCTCCACCTGTTATTGCCATCAACAAACATTCGCAGTCGATATTTATTGAACAGGGCTGTAATTTTGTTTGGCAATATGGCGATGGACAACATCCACATGTTGGAAATTGAGGTGCAATCGTGTCTTGCCCTAGATTATTTCCGAACGAAATGTATGAATTAATTTATTAAACATTTTTAGAAATAAGTGTATAGTGTTCAATAGAATCCGTTTCTCATACCTGTAACAATATGGAAAACATACCTAAAACATGCAGTGAATTATATAAATAGGGTTTAATTTCATGATAGAATTACTTACACCGCTGCCAACATTTGAAGTAGGAACTGCTGCATCATCGTGATTAGAGAAATAATGTCTGATAGACACAGCTGTTTCTTTTATAGACGATCGCGTTATACTTGTAAAATGTTCTTTGAATGGGTCGAAACAAGCTCGTTGTGTTGTATCGGTCGTATTTATTCTCGTCAATTCATGAATTCCAACATCATATATATTGTAAAATAATATAGTATTGATCGTCAATTGTGTAAAATAAATACATTTTACTTCCATCATAACACTTGATTAGTCCCATTGAAAAAAAAACTACTGTTTATGTTGCAAAATATTTTCGATAGATTTGATTATTTTGCTATTTTGTACAAGATTCAAAACAAAAATCTTGAAAAATTAGAACCACCATTGATTCTTTTCAAAGGTAATCGAGAGAAATGTATTTACATTTCACACGACTGAATATCTTGAAAGATTTTTTTTCCCTGGAGGATATTATTAAAGTGTTGGCCTAGTAAATAGCAAACGACGTCATTCTCAATATGTGATTGACTCAATAGTAAATACGGTAAACTCAAAAGAGAATAATAATAATAATAATCTCCCATAGGCTTATCGCCCGTTGGGGGCCGGCGCTAAAGGGTCCACAAGCAGCCAGGTTCTATCGTGTTTTCTCTTTTACAGACGACGGTATCTGCACCCCATTCGTCCAACGCTTTCCCCTTAATGATTATGGGTTGGCGATCATCATAGGATCACGTGGCCGTGACATCTATGTTGAAGTTATTGTTTTGACTCTGCATACTGACTAATGATATAATCGATACGCTATCGGATGAGTCATCCGGAACAATTAGCCGTTAGTAGCTTGTTCAGGGTTATTCCATGATTGGTGATACTGTGGTTTGAACACAGTACCTTGTGAATATGTGTCGAATAACATATCCACTCAACCACGGCCAAAAGAGAATAATAGTCGTAAAATGAGTTTTTTTATGGCTACAGATAGTATTGCTCTTTGTTTAGATTCTTCAATCATCATGCAAATTTTGTAATGTTTGTCAAACATTGATCGCGTAGCATGTTTTGAAAATTGAATATATCATATTCACTATTATTAATTTTATTTTTGTACAAACATTAGAGACTAAATTCAATTTTTTTCCTTGTGAAAGTAATTCAAAAAACTTCTTCTGTGTGTGAAATCCAAAAACAAATTTGTGAAGTAAACTGATCATATCGTATCTGATGCAATCTAGTATGTTTATCGACATATTCCGAAAGGAGGTTAGCGAAGGAGTACGCTTGGTTCAATGTCCCGAAACAAGTGGAGACAGATTGATTTAAAAACTTCCACTGGTCCGGATCAATTGCAGTCAAGCTGACTGATTCAACTACAAGCGTATTACTCACTTAAAGAATAGAGTGTCTTCTCGGATTTGGTGTTGGAATGGTATACTTTAGAGTTCAAGTTTAAAAGCGAAACCGGCATCCTATCATCACACCACTAAGGGTTTATTATTGAATCAATGGAGGACACATCTCACGCGAAGAATAAAAAATGATTTAAATCATTTTCAAATCATCCAAAATGAATTGATTTTCTATGCGTTAGACTATGATTACTCGTAGATCTCGGCGATTTTTAACGGCAAGAGCTTATTCTCAGAGACTTTTCTTTATTTTAAAAACTTATTCTATATCACGGGCTACTTGTCTGGCTCAGACGCGATCTCTTATTTGAATTATTTGTGCTACTTATTGATTTAGGATCTTTTCTATGACTTAGCTGAACTTATGTAGTGATTATTTTCTAGACAGATTGGTCATAACCGACGTGAAAGAATTTATGATAGTTACTTCTTACAGTTAATTACCTATGAGTAGACATCGCTGACCTTCCGGTAATTACCCAACTGAACATCAATTTCGCAAATAGAATTGATCATTCGATCGGACTTCCTATTTTCATACTACTCAACTTTTTCTTCAATATCATATACGCAACATGCGTTCTCTTTTCTTTGCACACAAAGAGCACATTGGAGAAAAGAATTTTTCAATTATTTCAACAAAATGAATCATGAATTACGAAATTAGACAAGACACGTGTGCATAAATGAAGCAAGTTTTTTTTTTCGTGTGGCGTTTAATATGCAGTCGACGTTCGAACTGTTGCCTGATGAAGTTTTAATGATTATTATTGGATACTCAGGTGATGTTTATTCTATAATTCGAACATTTCTCGGCTTAAATCAACGTCTAAATTGTATTCTTCTCGATAAACGTTTACATTTGTTAACTGATTTTCTATATATCAAAATTGCCGATGAAATCTTTGAATCCTATCATAATTCTTTACAATTTCAACATGTAACACAAAAACTGGTAACAAATAATGGATTACAAAATGAAAATCAAACTATTGAATGGCTACGAGTATTAGTCATGTTTAATATAAAAAGCAAATATATCAGCGCAGATAATAATTTTCAGCTTTATGGCGACCGATTACAAATTCTTCGTCAAAACTTAACTCACAATGAACTTCAACAAGTAGATCATGATTTAGCAATCGCGTTAGATCCATTAAAACCGAGTTCGAAGACGATCAAGCAAATTTGTTCACTTATTTATGAACGCGGTGCGCGTCTCGAATATATGAGTGATCAGCTGAACATGTTTGATTTAGCTAGATTGATCAATAATCAAATGTTTCTCTGTTATCAATCAGATCCTAAAAAATGCCATCGATATTTCTATCACCTGATCTCGATGTTTAAGGGAATGATTTTTTCGAATCCACATCTTCTAAATAATTGCAGCTTTATGAGTTACGGTTATGATGTTATACATTTTTTACTCTGTACTATTTTCCAAAGACGTTTCATCTATAAGCATCAATCATCGACGAGTAACTTGTACTATTACCAGTCGTTTGTCGACTTATTTTTACTATCCATACAATGTCGACGATCGATCACGATCGGTAAAAATTGGGCTGAAACTTATTTTTTCGAAATATTATACAGAATAACAGCGGAAAAAGATCGAATCGACAATCATAGTGATATATTTATTCAAACAACAGAAATAGAACTATTAAACATTCTTCAAGATGAATATTATTTACAAATAAGCATACCATGGAACGAAAATTCCAAGGATTTATTTACACGAGCTCTGAATCGTTTTTTTCGAATGAATTACATTGATTTGATTCTTTTAATATATCGACACAATGAACTTTTACGCACATTTTTTAATACTACAGATTATATCGAAAGAAATATTGGTATTATGATTGGTAATCGTATGAGAAAACAATTATTAAATACACTTATTGATGAAAAACCGTTAGCATTATGTTTCATTAATAGAAATTTTCTATTTAGACTCTTAGATAAAAAACAATTTCAAATTTTAAAGAAAACTATCGAATTGTCGAAATCAGTATTGAATTTAATTGATGACGATGGTAATGACCTATTGCTATATTTGTGTTTGAAAGTTCGTGGTTGTCGACATCGGTTCATTCAATATCTAATTGGTATTCGCAGTAATACCCAAAGGATCAATTGCCATGGTCAATCATTGATCGATATATTAAAATTAAAAAAAATAGAAGCCTATTGAAAAAATTGATTGAACATGAGATCATTGAGAACGTTGTATGATAGTGGCTAGTTGTAAAAAAATGAATAAAACAAAGCAAACGCTCGTTTTGAAAATATATTTCAGTAAAATAATTTTTAGATTCTCGAATCGATTTAAGAAGCATTGAATTATATGATGATAGGGGTGAGTCATCGCACTCATAATATGAAAAAAAAATGTACAAAAAGTTCTGTTCAAACATCTCTATCGTAATTCTCATTTTTCTTTGAATTCTACAAGCTGCTTGCATACTGCTTACCAAAGTGAAGTGTTGTTTGCATTTGTTTTATTTTATCAAAAAACAAGGCTGCTAAGCGAAGTTGTGTTAGAAAAATAATGTTGTGTTGCCTTTAGTTTAGAATTCTCTTTCTTCCTCGTAACGAAACGACGGCAACATGTGCAAATACGAAGGTGTTTCAATTCATGACGACGCTAAAGACTACTGTTTCTTCCTAGGCTATAAAAATACGTAAGAAAAAAGAACACAGGACATTTTATTAAATTTCGTGCAATCGATTAGACGGTAAGAAAGGTAAAACATCTTGAAACACAGTATTGCAGCATTACTTCCTCATAAAGCATACTCTGCATCTGGTTGTTGACATGCAATCGAGGTTTTCAATAGGAAAGAGAAATTTGGGTCACAATTCTTATACATAAAAATACTCGCTTGTTTTGTAATCTTTTGTATACAAAGTTCATTGAGAGTACGGAGAAGAAAACTTTTATTTTGCACCGAATACAACCATATGGACATTTCATATCAAATACTTTTGATCTGTAAAACAAGACGTATTGTTCACATAGGATATCAATTCCAATGGGCACTAATGCAACAGCCGATTCAAAATGTAGATCAAACCAGAAGTTAGCCCTTGTCATTGGCATAGGCGACTACGACAAAGTTCCAAAATTAAAAAGCCCATCGAATGACTCAATGGATATGGAAAAAAAATTAAAATCTATTGGTTTTCACGTAACTAAACGCTGGTTAGATTTACTACATAAGGATATGGTTAGCATCGTTAAAACATTCATAACTGAAGTACAAGAAGGAGATACCGTATTCATTTATTTTTCTGGGTATGGGACTCTATGGAAAGTAAGTACTATAATAGTTTTTCATTTGCAACTTCTTCTGATTCTAACAATGAGATCTTTATCTGCGACGCATTTAGGACGAATATTATCTGTTACCAAAGGATTTTGATGGAAAAAGTGAAAAATCAAACAAAAATGCGGCTCCAGTGTGGAAAATTCTTGACAAGATCAGTAATCAACATCCATTTGTAATAATATTAGCTTTGGATTGCTGTATAGAATATCGACTGAAAAATGATCGCACGAATAGAAATAGACCTAGCATCAGTGATTGGGATTCTTCTCCGTTTGATCTGCCCTCAAAAGACTTGAACACCGACGCGGTGATTGCTTTTGCTTGCAACCCTGGGTCTGCGTCTATTGAGAAAAAAGAAGAACGAAACAGTTTATTTACCAAGCACATTCTACAATACATCACAAAACCTGATGAAGATATTCTTACGATCTTTGATGATGTTAAAAGGGCAGTGACCGATCACTCGAAATCGAGACAGACTCCAATTATCATTTCTACATTATCTGGGAAGAATGTTTACTTACACACACAAGGAAAAGGTAAATCATCAGCTATCTATCTGTTTTTGTAGTTATGAGCAAGTTTTATTCAACTCAGTTGAATTATCGGAGATCGAAGATTTGTAAGATTTTATTTTTTATGAATTCGAGTTTAAGTTTTTGTGTGGCAGGAGATATGGTTCTGATTTTCACAGGGACACTCAGTGATCTACTTACGTAAAAATACGATACTTGTTTCAATATTGTGTCGCAGTACTTAAATCTGTGTCATTCCCACCTATTGCGGCTAAATAAATCACTTATTGGCAGTCACATCTGCACCCAATCACACTCTAAGACACGAACGTTCTACATCGCTCTTTGCCTGACTCAGACAACTTGATGGAACGTACCAAAATATATAAACTCTGAATAAAAGTTGTTTTCTTAGATATCATCTCAGAAAATTTATACGTGAACAAAAATAATTTCATCCAACAATTATTTTTATTAATTTCTATTATCATATTACAATCTCTTACATAGTTAACGATCAGCTGTGTCCTTTTACTAGTGTACCCAAAAACAATATCGGTGTACCAAAATCAAAAAGAAACGACAGCATTGAGGTAATCAAACAGTGTTTTTTAAACATTCTTTTGGTTCTGTATACTGAACAGATGCAGTTCTCTGAAGCGGAAATACAAAATGCAACAACTTTGGAATACAAAAATCCTACGAACAAATCTTGTTCACATACAAATCAGGTCAGTATAGGAGCATCCGTTCCTCACAATCACTGTAAAAATCGAATCATTCCTATTCATTTTTAGATGTTTACAGAACAAGACAATACTAATTGCGAAAGCAGAGTACTTGGATGTTTAGATAAATCTTGGCTTGATCTTAGCTATCATCAGCATGGCGAAAAATTGATCAAGCGACCTCATGAATTGGTAGCAACTATACTGTAAAAAAACGGGTTTATAAAAGTGCAACGTGTCACATACCCTTTTTTTCGTTTTTGAAAAATCTGATAGACCCTTTTTCTAAATCATAAACCTAAAAATCGTTTATTATCTTCGTCATATACGAAAAAAGGGTTTATGATACGTTGCACTTTCATAAATCCTTTTTTTTGTTAAATACCCTATCAAAAACGAGTTTTCCGTTTATTATTCTGCGGATTTTTTTTACAGTGTATGCCAAATCCTCCAATGACTGTCGACAATCAAATCTTGAATCGAATTCAAGGATCAATGATTGGAATGGCTTTGGGTGATGCTCTTGGGGCTCACGTAGAATTTCGACCTCGCGCATTTCTCGTGAGCAATCCAGTATCTGATCTTGAGGCTGGAGGTACGTGGGGCCTTGAAAAAGGACAGGTAGGTTGTTGACCGAGATGTTTGACTATGAAACCTATCATTGCCTTACAGAGTCACACTGTGTACTATGTTTATGATAAAAGTTCTTGGAGAATTTTCGCTTCCCCTCAGTTGAATAATAGTAATGTTCAAAAAGAAAGAGTTATTTTAGTTCACTGATGATACTTCTATGGCACTTTGTCTAGCAGCGTCCTTAGTCTACCATGGGGATTTTATTCCATACGATCAGCTCGTTCGGTATAAGTGGTGGCATAAGCATGGCTACATGTCGTCAACAGGGCAGTGTTTCGATATTGGAGCAGCTACTTGTAAATCTCTTCGTGAATTTGAAGCTCGTCAGAAAGAATTTGCAAAGGTTCAAAAAATTCCGATGGACGAAGTAGACTATGTCTCAGGTGCTGACCGTCTGTCCAAATTCGATGTAAACTGTAGTGAACCTGACGTTGCTGGCAACGGTGCACTCATGCGTTTAACACCGGTACCACTTTTTTTCTACAGACGTCCTACTCGTGCTGTCGAATACTCGGGAATTAGTGGTGTAATCACTCATGGCGATTCAAAAGCCTCCGATGCGTGCCGTTATTACGGTGCACTGATCGTCGCTGCTCTACATGGTGCTTCTAAAGAAGAATTGTTGGATACAGATTTTTACGAGAATCATAAATCATGGTTTGGCAAGTTTCCGCTTGTTCCAGAGATCATGCGTATAGCGAGAGGATCTTATCAGAAGAAGGGAGGCTATGAAGATGGTATTCGCGGCAAAGGATACATTGTTGATGCTCTTGAGGCCGCTTTGTGGGCGTTTTGGTCTGAAGAAACCTTTGAAAATGGTGTTCTTGCTGCTGTTAACTTAGGCGATGATACTGATACAACAGCTGCTATTTACGGTCAATTAGCTGGTGCCTATTATGGTTATCGAGAGCTGCCACAACACTGGGTCAATCAGGTATATGCAAAAGATTTTATATTAGGTTTGAGTGAATGGATTTCTTATGAAGGATCAATATGGCATCCCAATAAATTAGAAAAAAACAATCTCGTAGCTCCGGCTGTGGCGTTAAAAGAGAATAATGTCGACAATTGCCCCGATCAATACAAATCTGATGCCAAACCAGTTTCTTCACAGGGACGGACATCACGAGAAAAAAGCCAACAAAAAGGATCAATTCATGGACCTACCCAAAATATCAGCAGGCCACCGAATGCTAAAGCGCAGCGTGCTCAAATGCCACTATTAGCTGCACGCAAGGAAGATAAGAATGGCAGAAGTCGTTTTCCGAATGAGTCTCAAAGCCACACCAAAGCAGAAGCAAATTTTACTTATTCGTCTGCTCAAAAAGAACAAAGTGCTAAAAGAACTTCCTCACGTCCACCAGTGCTGAATGGTTCAACGCTGCTACCACGAATAGAACCAGTAAAATCTAGTGTTCGCACTGTGAAAACCCCCTTTAGAGTACAGGGTACTGCAGTAATGTCTAAACAAGGCTCGCAAGTAGCTGAAGTCAACAAGGAGCATGCAAGTGTTCCCAAGAAATCTCAAACACCATCTCGGACGAATATGCAAACAGCAGGAAGTTCTACTGCTGTTCAAAGATCATCGGCGGGGCGAGGTTTTGGTGCAACAAGTCTTACATCCAAGCATGATACTGGAAAGATTACTAGTTCAAAACTAAGGCCATGATTGATAAAAAGATTGAGTAAATAATATGCATATGATTCATTAAACAATCACACGTGTTTCTCATCTTAACAGCTATTTTGGAGTTGATGATATGCGTAGAATGCGGAGATATTTCCGAAAAAGATCATAAAAAAGTCAGTTGGTTCATTATGTAATCTTGTTGATTCATATAATTATTCAAAATATTTTCTAATGAAATAATCTATTGTGAACAAGACAGCTAAGAAAACAAAAATGAGAAATATCGTAGGAATCATAACTTCCGTGTAGAAATTTAAAAGCATAGCTGCGATAAAGTTCTTCTAAGTGATTACAGTGTCGAAATCCTCGTAAAAGACTAGTATTGATGTATTTAATATAACGGGACAGCTACTGAAGTATATATACAAATCTACTTAGATTCCACGTATATTGTTATTCATGGTTGAAGCTCAGACAAGCTAAACAAGTCTATTTGACTACATAGTGTAAAGAGAATATGAGATCGAGTTATCGTTGGAATCGATTCGTTAGCTACGAGAAAAGTTATTGAATTATAATTTCGCTGAATTTATGCATGCTAAGAGCTATTCAAGTCGCTTTGGTGTTGTAAGAATTTTAAGCATAAATAGATTTATTCAATAAATAGCGAAAGAAAAAAAGCAAAATCACAGATCACCGTAGTTTTAAAGTTTCTCATTGATGACACCTGACTACCATAAATTGTTAACCATGAAAAGTGTAGGTGAAGCACATGCATTTTTACAATGAAAATAATTTAAGATGATTGCAGATTTTAGGTGAAATCTGAAAAATCTCTTACAATTAAAAAGACAGCCCCGAGAGCAACCGTTTTCATCTTGGCATCCAGGCCCATTGGAACTACAATAAGAAACGATCAACATTATAAATACTATGAAATTCGCGTATCAACATACATATCATTATGGATTTTACACTCAAGAAAAATAGACAATAACTATTGCTGTTATCAAAGAAAAGCTCATTCTAACAAAAATATCTAAGTATTTCCGCTGTCTAAAAATATCCAAACAGAACAAGCGTATGCTTGAAGTAAAAAAACAAATTTCGCTGCAGTTTGGCTATTGTTGACTGGAATAAATTCTCGAGAAACTTCAGAATCAAAATAATCTCCAAGTAAGATTGTCAAAACAATTTTTCAGTGATGTCACTAGCTGTTGTGATTGAGTACTGAGAAAAAATTGATCACTACGAAATTTGGGTGTGGGCGTGGGTGTGTGCCGTTGGACTGAGAATTCCTTGAATGACTTCATCGACATTCACACAAACATCCTCAAGAGAAACGCAATAAAAGAACTCAAATCTTATAAAAATAATCATAAAGAATATTTGTCATCTTTAAAAAAACTTGCGCAAGATAAATCTATTTATATAACTAGACCTGATAAAAGTAAAGGTGTTGTCATTCTGGATCGTAATGAATATATAAATAAAACGCATGAAATATTGAATGACTCGTCAACTTTCAAAACAATAAATCATGATCCTACAGTAACAATGATAATAAATTAAAAAGATTACTTCGAAAGATGACAAAGAGAGGATTTCTTTCTGAAAATGAATATAAACAAGCAACACCTGGTGGGTCTCTTTGTGTTAGACTATATGGATTACCTAAAGTCCATAAAATAGGAATACCTCTTAGACCTATCATTTCATCTATTGGCAGTTATAACTATCATCTTGTCAAGCTTCTAGCTGCTAAATTGCAACCACTAAGAAAAAATAAATACATATTGAAAGATACATTTGATTTCGTTGAATCTATCAAAAAACTAAATCGTACATCACTAAAATATAGAATGGTTTCATTTCATGTAACCGGTCTTTTCACAAAAGTACCTTTATCATACACCATCAACTTAATTCTTGATAAAATGTATGAACCTGAACACATTTGTCCTGAATTTATTAAAGTAAAATCAGATTGGTACTCAAAATGTCTGGATAGAAATTATATGAAAACATTATTAGACATAGCTACATTTGATACTCATTTCTCGTTTAATAATCTATACTATCAACAACATAATGGGGTAACTATGAGGTCCCCACTTGCACCTGTTTTATCAGACATTTTCATGATTCATCTAGAAAATAAACTAATTGATAAGCTTAAAAAAGCAGGTGTTTTATGGTACAAAAAATACGTTGATGATACTTTCGTCATTATACGAAAAGCTAAGATAAATAATATAAAAAAGATTTTGAATAGTGTACACAAAGACATAAAATTCACATCAGTTCAAGAACAAAGCAATGAACTTCTGTTTTTGGACGTACTAGTACGTCGTAATAATAAAATGCTTGAAACTTCTGTATATAGAAAACCGACCTATACAAGCTTATTATTGAAATGGCCATCTTTTGTTCCGAAACGCTACGAGATATCAGCTATCAGCTGTATGGTTTATAGAGCCATTCATATATCCTCATCATTCACAATTATGCACAAAGAATTTGATTTTATACAAGATATCACCAAACTAAACGGATATCCAAAGAATTTCGTTGAGTGCCAGATAAGGCACACTTTAAACAGATACATAGCGAAACAAAACATGCTCAATACAGACAATGAAACCAAACAATCGGAACAAAAACATGACAATAAAGAAACTCATATAGACAGAATAGTGTTTAATGTGCCATATGCAGAAAAAGCAACTCGACAATTTAGCAAAGAAATCAATAAACTTGCTAAAAAAAAAGTAAAACCTGCATCATAAATAATAATTGTTCCAAGACCGCCACCAGCGGTAACACACATATTTAAAAATAAAGATGAAATACCAAAAAATCTTAAGTCACATGTTGTCTATCAACTAAGCTGTAATACTTGCTCCGAAAATACATTGGAAAAACAGTCAGACAAGCGTGTAGACATTTAAAGGAACACGGAGCACCACAGAACATAACTACTACTGAACCAAATCAAAATCTAAGACGATCTGAACGAATAGCTAAAAGTAAAAGGCTTCAGATATATTATGGCGAATCGGATAACAATACTGATGAGGAAGAAGTTCCTCAAATAACTACAACATCAGCAATACAACAACACATAGCATCTACCAAACACAAAATTGACTGGAATAATTGGTTAATTCTCGATAATGATAATCATTCGTATGGATTACTAGTCAAAGGGTCTCTGGCCATAACTGAAAATTCACCAAGTCTTAATCGCACTACAAGATCAATACCTTTGTTGGTCTATCCTGAAGGGATTAGGAAAAGATCAATACAAAATAACACAACATCCCAAGATTCTAAATAGAAATCTTTATTGTTTACTGCAACATTCAAAAATGTTAATTATATTTCATTCCTGTTTAAATCAACTTACACTATTATGATCATTACAACTCTATATATTAACAACATTTACTACTATTATTTTTATTATACCATCTAAAATCCTACCACTAATTTCATTTTGCTATGATATTATGAATTTATCAACAACATCTTCACTTAAATACTATTATTAAATGTTACTAATACCTACATCCATACACTCATCAAAATATTACGTCAATCTATATGTTCTATGATTTTACTCTCAAATGAATTAAATGATTAATACTATATAGTATGCATTAAGTTGATACTTATTTACACAATTATAGTTTCCACATCATCTTGTTTTATTCTAAAAATAGAAAGTTTTCAACCAACATTACCTATAATCTCATAGCAATCAACAATATCCACATTACTATCATCAAATGTTGTTTTTTGGAATGATATGCCATAATGATAACACTTTCATATATTTTACGGCCTGATTCTGCATTACATTATCTAATTCGTTTTAATATATTAACAATTTTCATTTTTATTTGTAAGTTTATTTGTTGTCTCATTTTTTTCCCCATTGTAACATCTACTAGTGAATGATAATAAAATTATCAAAATGTCGCAGGACAAAAAATTTAATGAAAACGTTTTTCTTTTTCATTGCTGCTGTAAAACGATCTCATTACATAGATCTCATTTTCTATGCCCATGAATCACATTAATTAATGTTGATCAATTTTCGTATCAATTAATTTTCATACACTCGAAAAAATACATACACACTAATATACAGATAAAATTAATAATTTGTTATTTATGAAGAGAAATATGCGAGTTTTAAATGAAATTTATCCATCAGTTGTTGAAGTGCGTAAAGAAAGAAAGCTCAACTGACTCAACACATTGTGTAACATCCCAGGTCGAACGAGTCCGGCCTGGAAACGACCGGTTTCGGGTAGTTCCGTTGATTTTGTGCAAGCAGTATTCCGGCTGGAAAATTTTCCTGTGATTTCCGATCAATTCCTGCTGGAAAGCACCGGAACTTGGCAGGAATCCACCGGAAAAGTTCGGCCGTGTTTTTGACCGGAATACTGCTCCCATGTTTTAGCGATTTCCAGTGTTTTCCTGCAGGATATGGTGACTTTCCCGCATATTTCCTGGAGTATCCTACGGGATCCAGTGGCCGGAATGTTCGACCTGGGAAGAGAAAAAAATTTAATTGACGGCAGGAAGTCAATAATTATATTGAAAAACGCCTGAAAAGATAATGATAATAAACGATTTTCAGTACATCTTCCAATATTTCTTTTTTTTGCTTTCCATTTAAACATTAAGATGGTTGTTATAAATCAAAATTTTAAAGTGTATCACATGTTTTTATGTAATGATTTCAAAATTCAGGACACTGAATTTTTCAAATTGTCCCGATCCCGTTTGCCCCGCGGGACGGGACAAAAGGAATTTTTTGGGATTCGAGACTGTCCCGCAGGACTCTAGACTCCGCTTATCTTTGTTATAATAGCACGTACGTTCTACCATATTATTAGTCAAAAACCAGAGTATTCTTGCTGATTAATATTAGAATTCAAAGGAATGAAACGCACTGAAAAGTGACTAGTATCTGTAATTATAGGAAATATTGGGCCTGAATGATTGGAATGCTTCTCGGGGCTTGAAATGATCAGATAAAAGCGAACACGTATCTATGTTAGCATCGGAGTGAAAGAGGTGATCGACAATGATTTACGCTTGTTTGTTGTCAGGGGTATCCTTTTCGCGTTGTTCTTACACTGAAAAAAAATCTGCAGAATAATGAACGCTTGTCCTTGTTTTTTTTGGTAGCAAACCCTCAAAGGGTTTATTGGCATGGTATCAACCCTTTCAATGGTTGATTAACACTAGGGTTTATTATCAATAGGGTTTATTAGTCTTAAATTAGTTTATTAGAATTTTTGAAAGGTATGTTAGAACTGATACAGACACAAATGGCTTATTATTAGAAACAAAGATGTAGAGTAATCTACGGAATTAAGTGGAGAGTTTATTATTCTACGGAATGAGATATCTTAAAGCACGAGACACACAAAAGGTATGTTATTCTACGACAGAGAGTATATTATCCTACGCTTCGATAAGAACCATTTTCTATTATACCCATTAGAAATCTGAAAATACTGTTTGACAAAAATGTTCATTATTCTACGCCAATAGGTTGATTATTATACGAAATATGAAGATGCTATTTGCTCCAAAGCATAAAGGGTAGATTATG